ACATCAAATTTGAACAATCTTGACTGTGCATGAGTCATATGAATTAATTAATAGACTGATTCCCAAAAAGCAACATAAATGTGTCATTAAGTCATTTGATTTTTGGTTTTATGAATGGAACAATACAAGTCGTTTTGCATTAAGTGCATGAAAATGCATTGCATAAATGAATACAGAACACCAATTTTTAATATGCATGAGTCATATAGGTTAACTTGTAAGCTGATTCCCAAAACACACCACAAATGTTTCATTAAATCATGACAGAAACTGTCAAATTTAAGTCATGCATGAAAATGCATTGCATAAATAAATAAAATGCAAAGTGCGCAGGCATCATATTGGTTAATTAATAGGATAATTTGCAAAAAACACTATAAATCTATCAAGTCATATGATTTGATGTTTTAACAAACTGAAATTGAATTCATTATGCATTAAGTGCATGAAAATGCATTGCACAATTGAATGCATAACATCAAATGTGAATATGCATGAGTCATACAGATTAATAAATAGATTGATTCCCAAAAAACACAATTAAATCATATGACGTTTTAACAGAAATTGACGTCATTATGCATTCAAGTGCATAATAATGCATTGGATAAATGAGTGCAGAGCACCAATTTTGAATATGCACGAATCATATGGATTCATTAATAGGTTGAATCACACCATAAATGTGTCATTAAGTCATGTGATTTTTTTTAAATGAGAGAAACAGAAATTGAAGTCGTTATGCATTAAGTGCATGAAAATGCAATGCATAAATGAATGCATAACATCAAATTTGAACAATCTTGACTGTGCATGAGTCATATGAATTAATTAATAGACTGATTCCCAAAAAGCAACATAAATGTGTCATTAAGTCATTTGATTTTTGGTTTTATGAATGGAACAATACAAGTCGTTTTGCATTAAGTGCATGAAAATGCATTGCATAAATGAATACAGAACACCAATTTTTAATATGCATGAGTCATATAGGTTAACTTGTAAGCTGATTCCCAAAACACACCACAAATGTTTCATTAAATCATGACAGAAACTGTCAAATTTAAGTATTAAGTATTTAAGTAATGCATAAATGAATAAAATGCAAAGTGCGCAGGCATCATATTGGTTAATTAATAGGATAATTTGCAAAAAACACTATAAATCTATCAAGTCATATGAAAATGCATTGCACAATTGAATGCATAACATCAAATGTGAATATGCATGAGTCATACAGATTAATAAATAGATTGATTCCCAAAAAACACAATTAAATCATATGACGTTTTAACAGAAATTGACGTCATTATGCATTCAAGTGCATAATAATGCATTGGATAAATGAGTGCAGAGCACCAATTTTGAATATGCACGAATCATATGGATTCATTAATAGGTTGAATCACACCATAAATGTGTCATTAAGTCATGTGATTTTTTTTAAATGAGAGAAACAGAAATTGAAGTCGTTATGCATTAAGTGCATGAAAATGCAATGCATAAATGAATGCATAACATCAAATTTGAACAATCTTGACTGTGCATGAGTCATATGAATTAATTAATAGACTGATTCCCAAAAAGCAACATAAATGTGTCATTAAGTCATTTGATTTTTGGTTTTATGAATGGAACAATACAAGTCGTTTTGCATTAAGTGCATGAAAATGCATTGCATAAATGAATACAGAACACCAATTTTTAATATGCATGAGTCATATAGGTTAACTTGTAAGCTGATTCCCAAAACACACCACAAATGTTTCATTAAATCATGACAGAAACTGTCAAATTTAAGTATTAAGTATTTAAGTAATGCATAAATGAATAAAATGCAAAGTGCGCAGGCATCATATTGGTTAATTAATAGGATAATTTGCAAAAAACACTATAAATCTATCAAGTCATATGATTTGATGTTTTAACAAACTGAAATTGAATTCATTATGCATTAAGTGCATGAAAATGCATTGCACAATTGAATGCATAACATCAAATGTGAATATGCATGAGTCATACAGATTAATAAATAGATTGATTCCCAAAAAACACAATTAAATCATATGACGTTTTAACAGAAATTGACGTCATTATGCATTCAAGTGCATAATAATGCATTGGATAAATGAGTGCAGAGCACCAATTTTGAATATGCACGAATCATATGGATTCATTAATAGGTTGAATCACACCATAAATGTGTCATTAAGTCATGTGATTTTTTTAAAATGAGAGAAACAGAAATTGAAGTCGTTATGCATTAAGTGCATGAAAATGCATTGGATAAATGAATGAAGCACATCTCATTTGAATATGCCTGAGTCATATGGATTATGGTAATGACACTTTAATGCCGTTTTTTTGTCATCTTCTGGAGCTTGACAGCATCCTCCTCCACTCGATTAAATTTTTGGGTCAACTATTCCTTTCATCCCTCCTTTCATCCTGATTCTCTCTTTTTTGTGCATTTGTTAGTGTCAGCTGACCAGGTCAGAGCGGCTTTTCCTGCGTGTGACTTGACAGGAAGCTGAAAACAGGATTCTTCTTTTTAAATCAAATCTGCACTCAATTTAGAAGCAAACTGAAGAATGCTTCTGAGGCAAACAAACATGTATTTTTCTCTGGATCAGATTATGCATGCACGCAGGGAATGAGCGTGTGAATAATGAAAACTGTAGGACGGGCCGCAGCGTCTCTGGGCAACAGGAAGCACTCATTATTTCAGGCCAAAGAGAGCCAGAGATTGAGGGAAGAGCGCAGGACGAAATCCATCTCATCTGAAGACAACAGGACGCCGCTCTCCTCGTGAACGGCTGAAGGCGATCCAAGACTATTTCATGTTTGATAAGAGGAGACAAGGTCACAGACTGTTGCTAAGCAGCTCAAAAGCAGCGCGGCTCTCTGGGGAGAGCAGTGAAGAGTCACAGTGATGGCGAGAGGAGAGGAGCTCTGACAGCTGCTCCGAGCCAAACTAAAGACATGAACGAGTGTGTGTGTGTGTGTGTGTGTGTGCACGCAGCGCTGACACCAGAGATGAAAACACTGCTGGTTAGATGCTTGCACCTCAATGTCACAGTGATCAGAAAAGTCATATTCACACACAGACCAAACAGTCGTGCTGCAGCAGTACAGCCTCATCAGTACCTTCATCTAGAGAGCATCTGGCCGATGACTGATATACAACATAAAATACATAGGAAAATTATATATATATATATATATATATATATATATATAAACTGAGAGTGAATTAAATTCAACAAATTCTTGTTTTACATAATATTTATTAAAAAATTATAACAGAAATATTTGCAAATTTACGGTGAGAACAATTGGTCTGTTCAGTGTTATTTTAGTATTACTTACTATTATAGTATTTAATAATATTTTGAATTATCTTTGATTATTTTTTATATTTGAAAGTAATAACTACATAAATATTATAAGTAACTTTTTAAAACTTTTTATTTTAAAGTAATTTGATCTGCTTTTATAATTTTTCTTTTTAATTTTTTATATTTTAAGTGTTTATAACTTTTTTTACTCATTTTAATTTCAATTTAATTTTAGTAATTTTGATAATTTTAGTAATGTTAAGCATAACATTTCTAATGTTCATTTAAGTTTAAGTTAGATTAAGTTATTCATATAATATTTGCTGTGTACTTTAATTTATTTCAGCTTTATTTCAATGACAGAAACTTTTATTTGTTATTATATTATATTATATATAAAGATTTTAAGTAAAGCCAGCATTTTATAGAAATTTTGTATTTTGTATAATTGTATTTGGCATTTCTGTCACTTCTGAAATGATGGCTACGCCCCTGGTGTGACAAAATGTTAGCCTATACATAATAAAGCTCTTTTTTTAAAACCTTGGCTTACATACATTTCTACATATGCCATAGCATCATTAAACTATTACCCAAAGATTCACAGCCCTAATAATTAGTCACTACATTACACTACATCACACTGTAATTCAGATCTCATTCAGCAGCAGTGTAAGCGTCTGACTGCAGTGTGCTGTGAGTGTGATGTAGTGAGGGCTGTAAGCGAGTTGTCCCAAACACAAATAATTTTTATATTTATATATTCATTGTCTGGCTATCTGGGATTTCGGTATGGAGTTAAAGGTTAGGATTATATATTTTTTGGTAGTATTATATCACATTGTGAGTGTATATTAGCACCTTTTGTTGTTTTCTCGTGGTATCTGATAGAAGCGGTGACGCATGACGTCAGACTTAACAAGCGGATAGCGGGCCGAGCGGAGGAGAGTTCACACTCGCTCACCTAACCAAATGACAAGGCCAGCGGGAGGCTAGTTTGTGTTGAGTGTGACCCGTGACAGCTGTCTGATATCCAGCGATCTCTGCAGGGCGTCGCATGCGTGACGCATGTAAACACACACACACACACACACACACACACAGACACACACAGACCGGTCAGAGTCACACGTCTGACCTCCGGCTGATCAGTCCACCAATCACAGTCACAACACACACGCTATTAATAGAGAAACCTGTGCAACACGTCTGCTGCAGAAATGGGAGACTTGGCTAGTTTTATTAATACTTTGAATAAGTTTTTATAGTTTATTTTAATTTTAAGTTCATATTTTATCATTTTTTAAAATATGTCTATATGGTTACACTTTATTTTGATAGTCCACTTTAGACATTCTACTAACTATAAGTAACTTTGCAACTACATGTCAACTAATTCTCATTAATTTGCAACTACACGTCTACTAACTCTCAGAGTAAATGTATTGTTGGCTATTGCTACAAATATACCCCAGCGACTTAACACTGCTTTTGTGCTCCAGGGTCACATATATTTGTGAAATTTTATTCAGTTAATGTTTATTATTTTATTACAAGTCACTATTTACTTATTCATTCATTTTAATGGTTTTATTTTCAGTTAACAACAGGAAGCCTGGTCCTGCCTTTCATCTTATTGACCATTGCCAGGTCTTTCTGCGTTTGACATTCACCACATCAACCCGGAAACTAGAGTTTTATTGAGAATCTGAGCACAAAAAGCTGAATTTATGACACCATTTGTGTCAAATGACCATATACTACTAATTTGATGTGTTTTCAGGGTTCTCACACTTTGTCCGTAATTTTTCCAGGGATTCAGGATGAGCAGATTTGAGTGTGTCTGGCCCCGCCCACTCACCTCCCACTGGCCCTGCTGTGATTGGCTCTTGAGCTGAATGAGCCAGTCCTCGCTGTCAGCCTCGGCGCAGGGGTGCATGGTGATGATGACGGGCCGGGTCAGGAGAGCTCCAGCAGGACCGCAGCTGACCACCGGACTCAGGACCGTCTCCTGTGTGTCGTCCACC